TAAAATCGATAAGAGTAGGCTTCTGCCGCCACCCGGGCAAAATTCAAAATTTCCTACCAACTGAAAATATTAGGTGTGTCCCGCGCGCTCATATGACCTATGCAGTTGCGAGCGCCGTAAAACACTTACAAAAACAAACAAACAACCATAAAAACCCAACCAAAACTAAAATCCAAAACAACCCAATATACGACCGGCGCATACCCGAAACAATTCAGTTGTGGCTTCAAGCGCAATATAAACTGTCGTTTGTTAGTCGCTGCTATCATTGTTAGGCCTGTGATCTTGGGGCATTATTTCAGGGCTGCAATTGAAACATGGTCAAACAACATTTCTGAAGAATAAAATTACTTTGATACTTGAACAGATAAATTATGTCAGCTATGACTATAATAATATTCATTCCAAAGTTTAGACAACGCGCAACTGCAAGGGTCGCTAGTAGTGCGGTCTTTCTGCAATTTTGTTGCTTTTGTTGTTGCTGCTGTTGCTACTGTTGTTGTGGCTAAAGTAGTAATTATTGTTGCTGGTGTTTTTATTTATTTTGGTGTAGAAGTTAATTTTCTTTTTATTTGACACAATACTGGTCACGTGGGAGGTGGAGAACTAGGTCTCTCGTCAGGCATATCACAGACAGGACGAGGGAACTTATTCTTCTACCCTCAGATTCGAACATCAAACTTCCATTTCGTAGGTCAAGTTCGTAACACACTATACCACTCAAGGCCAATCCATACAACGATCTCCAGGTCAAGATGTTGACTTATAGAGGAGAGGGAGAGGGGTAGGGGAGAAAGCAGGAAAGGGGGGGGGGGGTGCATCCGCAGGAACGGGAAAATGGACAGATGGTAACATGTCGGAAAATGGGACTCTTGAAAATAAGGTGTGTGAAGTCTGCACATGTCATAGAAGTGTCTGCATATTCAAGAGCCCTGATATAGTTATACTGCTGTGAAGTGTGTTGTGTTAATTATTGAAAAAAACCAAACCCAGGAATAAATTAGGGATGATTTGATTTTCTTGTTTGTAGAAGAGAACTGTGCAGACTAATAGAGAGATGGCCACATTCTTTGAAGGAGAGTTTGTTTCTTTTCAGCCCTTTGCAAAACCCCAAAATGCACCCACGCCCCCCCCCCCCATTTTTTTTGCACAACACTCAACGACAAGGTGCCTATTCGCCACACCTCCTGCCCATGCTCTTTATTCTATGGTGGAACATGACCAGGATATTGCCTCTATGCCCTCTGTACGGCAGACTGATACTGATATAACCTGTGCTTGCATGACTCCATCCAGAAAATCCTCGCATCTAAGCCAAACAAATATATGGCAGAGGTTTTGATGGAGTTAAAAGTTGCGAGGAATTTTGCTGTTTGTTTAAGCGTCTGTACACGTCCAGTGATAACCTTGAACTGTTTGAGTTGGTCTGACACGGTTCTGCTCCAGGCATGTAGTCCCCACGGTTGTCGCCCCTGGGCATGTTGTAGGCTGTGATTAGAACACTGACAGAACATCTGCCCGGGCCAAATTTGTGAATTCTGTCATGTTCACGCGTCAACTTGGAGTAGGTTTTTTTTCCTTTCTTTTTTTTCCTTTTTGTTTTTAGTTTTTAGTTATTTTTAAAAATTTAACTATACCCCGCGCCAGGGAGAA